GTGAACTTTTCACTTTGAAAAATCATAACTGTTTAATATTTTTCCACCATTAAATAAATTTTAACACTGTGTGCAAATTAAAATAAATTCCATACATTTCACATTTAAAGTAAGCTTGATATATAGTTGTCATGGATATGTAGACATTTACCAGTATAGGATTCACATAGATATCTCACCTTACAAGAATCATAATGTTACCTCCCATTGTATAAACGTAGTTATCTCCCTTTGTATAAACTTACAGTTATCTCCCTTTGTATAAGCTTACATTCACATTAACATCACACATTATCTGGAATAGATATGTTGTGAGGTATAAGTATGTACGTACATGTTTCTTATCAATTTTTTTTAAAATTATTACCAACATAAGACACATTTTCAGTAACAGTTAATCTCTGTTTAAATGTGAGAACTCTTTCTGTTCGTACAACTAATATGATGACCGAGTGTATGTTTGTAGTAATAGCATGACATATGACACACGATGCATGACATTCATTAACAACATACATCTGATGGAATGTAACACAGTGTGAGTATCATATGATCCAACATGATGATGACAAACAGCCGGCCTATGCCAGAAGAGAGCTATAGCTGAATATGATACACCTCTAAATACAAGTGATCCAAATCGAATAAATACAGATCTAGATGTCTCATTCATGTCTTGGTAAGGCCAGACCAACTGGTAGTTCTTGCTGAACCAAACACATAAGCAGTACGCAGTACTCTACTGTACTGTTAGTCTATGTGTGTATGTGTGTGGTGTGAGTACTGTGTGTCTGCGTGTGTACATGTGGGTGTAAGTATATGTGATAGTGTTAGTGTGTGTTGGTGTCTGTCTTAGAGTGTGAGTGAGAGAGAGAGAGTGAGTGAGTTTAGTTTTACGCCACACTCAGCAATATTCCAGCTGTACGGCGGCGGTCTGTAAATAATCAAGTCTGGACCAGACAATCCAGTGATCAACAGCATGAAGATCAACCTGCGCAATTGGGAACCGATGACATATGTCAACCAAGTCAGCGAGCCTGACCACCCGATCCCGTTAGTCGCCTCTTACAACAAGCATGGGTTACTGAAGGCTCATTCTAACCTGGATCTTCACAGGTGGAGTGAGAGAGAGAGAGAATGAGTGTGTGTGTATGTGTGCGTGAACACATGCTCATATGTCTGTGTGTGGTGGTGTCAGTATTGGTATTTGTGTGTTATGTTGGTGACAGTGGTAGTGAGAGAGAGAAAGAGAGAGTGTGTGTGTGTGTATGACTGAGAGAGTGTGTGTATGTATTTTTGTGTGTGTGCGTGCATGTGTGTACACGCATATGTGTGTGCATATGTCTGTGTCTGTAGATGTGAAAAGCTGGTAAGCCTGCATTTACAGGGCACAATTTTATTCTGACAAATTAGGCACAGTTTAGAGCTCTTCTAAAACACATGGAACCAACTGGTCTGGCCTGAAACTCTCACTGACAACCCAAAACAAGAAGTACCTGCCAAGTTACATAATCCCAAACACAGTCCAACAAGCAGGTAATGACCAGGTAAACAATGCAAACTCAATAGTACCAGTTTATACACTGGGTAACATTAAGTCAATAAATTAAGTCAATAGGTCAACCGATTTTGTTCCAGTCCAGCGTCCAACATCAAATTGAATATATAATCTAACATATTTAGAAACCATTCATCAAGATATTCATGTGCAAAAACAGGAATTGGTTTCATACCAACATCTTGTATTAACTCAACATTGAATGATTTCACATCTCACTGTTTGAACAATAGGACTGCATCCATCTCAACATCCATACTATGACACATCTGTCTTTCATCATCATCATCATCATCATCATCATCATCATCATCATCATCATCATCATCATCAAGAAGCTAACATCTGAGCTGAGTCTTCAACCATTTATCATTGTCACATGAATATTACCCTGACATTATTTAGTTTCCACCTAAATTGTCCAAACATTTCTATGAAACTATTAATCTGTTAGGCTCAAAGCAGAAACTTCTGTCAAACTTTTACAATATAGGCCTTTCACCACACCATTCCACCCTGTAACCACGGTAACTGGCAAGGTGGCCAAGGTCATCCTGGAAAGACACTTTCAAAAAATGGTAAAAGAAAACATTCTGAATTTTGAACCAAAAATTTATGAAACTCTATATGAGAACACATTGGGGCCTAAAAGGTTTCCAAAATACCAAAACACAAATATACAGAAGGACCATTTATATTAAGCAAGACAGTTAGGTTACCATGGAAATAAGGTATGGAATAACAAGGTTCCTTGCAACATTTATATTAAACATCATTATTAACCTTCAGTTAACACTATGCCAGATCCTAGCACCAGCACAGGGCTAAATACATATTTCAAGGGAAAGAAACTTAACCACCAAAGTCAGCGAATAAACACAAAAAAGGACAGTTTAACAAGTTTGTTCATAAAAATGAAATGGCATGATACAATATCTAAGGATGCTGGGATGAACGCATCAGTAGAGTCCCTAACATCTTCAAGTGAATCCTTGTTCAGAATAATGGTTCCAATCTCAATTATGAAAAATAAAATTCCACATTAGACCCTTTCTCGTAAATACCAAATTTGACTGAACCCTTATTAAGACATGAATTCTTGTTCAGGAAAACTGTTCCAATCTCAACTTTGAAAAATAAAAATTCTACACAAGACCCTGTCTCGTAAATACCTAATCTGACTAAACCCTAGACGTGAATCCTTGTTCAGAATAACTGTTTCAATCTCAATTTTGAAAAACAAAATTCCACATTGGAACCTTTCTCAAAATGCCTATTTTGGGTGTTGTTCCACAACAGCTTGTGTCAGCAAGCGCGCATGTATAATTCATTATAAGAAAGCACCAATATGAAATATGACCCATCTTTAAGGAAATTGCATGTGTGCTACCCTTTTCCATAATGCAGCAAGGTAAGAGATAATTCAGAAAACAAACATGGAGGACAGGACATAAAACTACAAGTTCATTGCAACTTCATTCAAATATGATCGCTTACACCAATTTGATACCTCTCCGCATCAAAGATGTTACAAACTGTTCACTGGAGGTCATGGCATGTGAACTTTGAACTTTGACTGAAGCATGTCTGTGTTTTTGTCAGATTTCCTAAACAAATTTATTGCTTTACCTCCTTGATTTTGATTAAAAGATGAGAGGTTCTTTCACCTCTGACATATTCAGATATGGTAGGATTTCGAGAAGCAATGCTGATTTACTTGACAAAACAAGTCATAGCTAGAATAACAGCTGATTCAGCAAAAAGTTATGAAATTAAGAATAAACTTACTGTCTTTCATATCAGGAAACACTGACAAAAACACTGTGAAGGTGATGTGACAGCGATACGATCATGGAACATAAGAAAGATTATAAGAAAAGGGAACCTGATATATATCAAATATTTAAAGTCTTTTTCCTGAAATGTTACTCCTCAAGAAATCATAATGAGACAGATTTGGTCTACGTCTTGGTTTTAACTGTTATCACTAACAGCTTTAACTGGTATTCCTAGCAACTATAACTGGTGTCTCTACAGCTTTAACTGTTACCCCCTACAGCTTTAACTGGTATTCTTGCAGCTAAGCGTCTTTATGATAAATATGTATTCATACTGGTAAGTCTATAAATAATTCACACATTCTTCCAGTTTCACACTTTCATAACATTTAACATAGACTGTACAACCGTAAACACTCACAGTGTTGACTGTGGCCACACACAGTGTCTCAACACTGACGCAATACACCCTAGTGTTAGACACAGTGGCGAGGATATGATACGTATTGCCCACTAGCAAAAGGTCATCTGGGACCAGCCATAACAAACAGTTTGGTGCTGTAATGTAATGGGATTATTCAACATACATTGTACCACATCTGTGTTGCTGTAGTGCATCATATCACATCCCCGCTGTGTCATGACAAGCTATGTTGACAAGGCTGATGTCAATTAATCATTACATTACCATTCCAATTTTAAAATGAAGAGGGACATATTTGATATATTTTTGTAAAATTTAAAATATATGTCCAAATTTGCCATTTTGGCATACTGAATTGAAACAGAATTTTTTCTAATTAAATAACAAATAAGGTGAGTATTGTTTGATGCAATAAACAGTATGGTTCGGAACAAGAAAAATGGTCTTCACCCATCATACCAGAACTCATGGGAATGAAAGCCAGATCCATGTGACAGTGAACACTGGAACCACATGGCTACCCCACACAGTGAGGATAGCGGTGGTAGCCAGGGATGATAATACAATCATTGATTCAAGCTGGCCCAAGTAACATTTGCCACATCACCAAAGTCAATCAATATGCAAAAAAGAGTTACATATTTTGCCATTAATTGTATGATGAAATAAATACTATAAGAAATTCAAACATTATCAGTTGTGGTTGCAAAATATCAGTTTTTGAAAATTAAAATCACGCCACATTATGAGAATGAGAATATTGATAGTGTCCACAGGGTGATTAGCGAAATCATCACAGAAGAAAATCAACACAATGTGTGTTATAAAGTACATTGTGCCGATAAAAATTGCAATCGTAGCATAACAATTCAAAAGGATATTTTGAGGAAAACACGTAATTAGATAATGTAGTACTAGAAGATAAAATTTGTATATTTGATGACACTGTCAGAGCCATGCAGAAAGGCTGCTGATGCTGCTTAAGAGTTCAACTGTTAGGTCAAGGTCAACAGGTACCAGCTCTATAAACAAACGTACCCTGACCAATATTGGAGGTTTCTAGCATGGCGATATTACAGTGCTGCGGGTGAGGCGAATCCATTTTCACAACGCCCAGTTTGTTTGCAGATTTGCATTATTTTTTGACAAGCGAGGCAGAATTTCAGAATTTACATACCAAACCCAGGACGATGGTCCTATCATCATACTCTCTATCAGATAAACAGTGGATTCAATACATATTGCTCAAGGGATTGACTTGTACAGTGTAAACTTGTGTGTACAGAAAAGTACACAATATATATATATGCACATGCGGACATGCAGCCAAGGTAAATATCTGTAGTACCTACAGTAACATTCAAATATTTCTTCCTTGTTTTCCTCTGAAAATTTGAAACCATTTTGCTTCATGGCTTTTAAATAGTGCACCAATGAAATGAGTGACGGAGCATTAGTATAACATGCTGTACATAATTAAGATCAAATTGCTAAACACTTAACATGAGGAAGCCTGTTTGCGAAGGATCGTTCAAATGAATGACTACTTTTGCAACATATGATACAAATGTACAACACACATTTCTCAAATTACTTCTACATCAGGAGAAATGGCCAGAGTGTATAGACAGTCAGAATCTACAATCTATCAAAGAAACTGAGATTCTCAACAATTCGGCTAAACACCCTTTGAGCAGCTTTGTGATGCATTCATTGATGGGAATGATGAATTTTGGCATGACTTACATTTTCAAATTTATTAAATCAGAAACAAGAGATGATTTATCTTCCACGGTCACCAGAAATGATCAGTGTTTGATTGAATGCTACATTTACTTAATGAAATACGACTGTGGTTATATAACCCATACATTCTAAATAGAATCTTCCTGTTTTTGTTGTTGGATCAGTCTACTCAGGTGTGGGGTAGTCCCCTTCGTCGGTTAGTCATTCCAAGTATATGTCCTCTGTGGGGTGGGAGAATGCCATGTACTCCTGGTAGAACCTCTTGAAGGATTTGCTGAGAATGAGAAAGAGGTTCAGGTGTTGATAATATTCGTTTGGTTTCAAATATAGAGCAACAACTGCACATGTGTTTTAACCATTCTCAAAGCTGATTGGTCAATTGAAACAATATGTCATCGTTACTGTAGTGACATAGCTCACACTGGGGTCCATCCCGTATGGGGAAATGGATGATTCTGAGTGAGTTAATCACTGAGTTTGTTTTTACGCTGCTTTTAGCAATATTCCAGCAATATCACACCAGGTGACACCAAAAATGAGTTTCACACATTGTACCCATGTGGGGGATCAACCCAGGCCCTTGGCATGATGAGTGAATGCTTTAACCACTTCACTACTCCACCGCCCAAAATCTAAGCACTGAACTGCTCAGACTATACAACCAATAAATCCCAATCGCAGTCAGTCCTTACAAAGCAACCATTTCATTTTCAAAGGGGGCAGAATAGAACATTTTTTGTGTGTGTGTAAGGCAAATGGTTTAATATTATCCAATAAAAAATTATTACAACCACATCTTCCTTAACTGAAAATCATATGGCTAATTAAAGAGTGCCCCAATTCCTCCTCACCTTAATGCATCGGTAATAGAGTGGGTTGTCCTCTCTCCTAGAAACACATGGCAAGCATAACGCGAATCTTTGGGATGCTTGGTAATAAATGCAAAATACCTGAAAAACACAAATACTTCCACTGAAAAAAATGCAAATGAAACTGATGACAAATTTGATTTTAGATTGAAAAGGTTTGATTTTAAAATGTCAGAAATTGATAACAAATTCTTAGTGTAGTGTTTATTTTTACTGAATCTGGAACAATATAAAAGTACTCACTTGTTATTTCTTGGATGTGTACCACAATAGGAAATATTTTTCAATGCAAAAAAGTGGGAGAATGCATCACTTTCATGCTGAAATAAAAAAAAATCGGATTTGAAATTGACATTTGCTTCTTATTGATTTATTGTTTATTCAGGATTTAAGATTATCTGAATAAGTGTGTGCAGCATTTGGATCACCTTATCTGATTTATGAATATTGAAATGGAATGTTAAGAGGCAGTTCTAAATGGAGTATATAACAAAGTACATAAATGAACAGGTCGTTGTTTGCTCTGAGCATGATGACGGCAATACCCAAAAGGGTGTACTATCGAGGGAATATATGTTCCTGCATTTCCAAACTGCGTTACAAGTACTGTGATTTGACAATCAACCTTTTGACATAAATTGAGAACATGACTTCAAGCAGAACCAATTTAGAAAGTTGCCATCTCATTGGCTCCAAAACCTATATGTGTATCTAACTTTGATTGGGTGCTCAGCTTGCTTTGGGTTCACCTAACAACTCCTCCATATAAATGGGGAAACAAACTGAAGTAATGAATCTGATGGTGACATTTGTTTTTATTGTCAGGGAACTGAAACTAATATTGTGAGGGACTCACCCCCTCTTTGCTCTTGTCAATCATGCGGATGCCATACTGGCTGATCTCCATCGTGCACATCGGTGGGGGAGCTGAACTCATCGTTGTACGGCGTGCTATCGCAACCTGACAAACAATAACAAGCACCAGCTTAACAACCCATGAATGACATCTTTAATGAAGATGATGCTGTTGACTCCTCTGCATACCCATCATGTGAATGTTTCTATTTTCATTCATTACTGGCATAAAACACATTTGTATTTCTGCAGAAATATTAAAGGTCACATAAACCCTAGGGGGTACAAATACATAAATCACTAACTGGCATCGTTATAAATGAAACCCCGTCATTAAAACTACTCATTTCGACCTTTAATTGACTTAAATCGACCTTTTTGACAACAGTGCACAATTCTCACCCGCGAACGAAATTTCAACCAATCAGAGCGGCGCCTCTGTGGCGTCATATGAGGAATAGCTTTGAGGGCCGATGCAGAATTCATCTACATTTTAGGGGTAAATTATCGTGTTTACAGGCTTGTATAAACCTGAAATCGTGACAATTGTTGTGGAAAATGAAAGCTATATGTTCTCACAATCTACTGTCATTTAATTTTGTCTCCTGCTTTGCCTAGTTTCTGAGTTACAACTTGTTTTTCATAGACGATTCTGTCAAAATCGATTGGTGTCGTTAGGCCCTATTTGTATAATGACTGATCCAAATTGATCCCATTTCTGTGTTGTTTTACCTCGATATTTAATCATGTCATGTAAAAATCTGTTTGTATTCTCAAAACAGTGTCGGCCCATAAGTTTTCACATGCAATACAGCAATTAATACTCCCTCGTTGTAACCCGTGTTAGGTGGTATAAACCTACACATGTTATTTGTCATCATTCACTTGATGGTCAGTTAATGAATTTATAACAGGTATAATTAGTGGTAACACACTTAGATTACCGACAAAGGTTCCCATTTGGCATTTCTTGTGTCTGGAGTAAATATTCAACATTATAAACATCGATCAAAGGATTAACCGATAACACGCTGATTGATTAATTACTTTTATCTTACACAGCGGAATTGTCAAAGGTAGTGTTTATGTATGTAGATTTACTAATCTATACTGAATACTACTCTGTCGTGTCGGTGTCTCGCGTAAAAACAACGTCCTTCTTTCAAAGGATTAACTGGCAATACATTGATTGATTGCCCATTATTGGCTAACTAAATTACTGTTTTAAAGAAAGGCGGACATTATGCAATTAGTTGCCAGGTGTGCTATCTTGGGTGACCAATGAGACTATACACCAATACCTGAAAAGATTTATCACTTTTTCGTATATTAAACTGTTAAAAGACACATCATTTGGAACAGTTTTGTGGATATTGATGGATACATTCCTCGAACAAGGTAATGGCCTGATATTGTTCCTATAACTTTAATCTGTTTTAATTTTAATATTTGCATTTTGTTTTATTCATTTGTCGTAGCATTCAACAGAATCATTGTTTTTAAGCCGTGAAGTGTAATGAGACAGACAACATGCACTAGGGTGTGTGTGTGCGAATTATGATTCATATTGGCAAACTATAAAATGTCTAGATATTACAGTTCTGTTATAAATTCACTATAAGTATCAGCAGATCGTCTGCTTTTATTTAGTTTCAAAATGCATACAAGTGTGATAATAAACTAATTAGGATTATAAGACCAAATATAAAGGCGCACATTGACTAGTATCTACATACTGGTGAGTGGACATTAACCATGTGAATGTAGCAAGAAATTTATCGCCAGCAGTATTGTGACTTCGACCCCACCTCGGCTTCCGTGGAAGAAATCGTTATGTTATAAGTTGTGTCATGCAAAATCCGTTTGGTTATGATTCCAATACATATTTAACAACGAGTAGAAAGTAGTCTTGATTTTCTAACTTGATGAAAACAAACTATAATCTGATTAATTCTAACAGATTTTTTATTTTTAAAATGATGGCCCTGTCGGGAACATCCGCCAGTCTGAGGATAAATGGTATTTAGGTTTGTTTTCACGAGTTACAAAATCAAAACTACTTTCTACTGGTAGTAAAATATGTATTTTATTGATGGCCAATAGGATTTTGCATGACATATAGCGTATATCATAACAATTTCTCTCGTGGCAGCGCAGGTGGGTGTCAATATAATACTACTTACAATATTTTGCTACTGAGCATGATGACGGCAATACCCCTTCGAAAAGGGTGTACTAGTTGTGGGATATATAATGTTCCTGCATTTCCAAACATATGCATATTTTACTACAACTAGTAAGTAGTTTTGATTCTTTAACTCCGTGAACCTTTCTGAACACAAGTAAGAGAACATGAGGCTTCCAGCAAACCAATTTAGAAAGTTGCAAACATAACCCATTGGCTCCAAACTTTGCTATATGTGGAAATCTAACTTTGATTGGGTGCTCCATCGCTTGCTTTGGGTTGGCACAAAACAACGATTCCATATAAATGGGGAAACAAACTGAAATCATCAAAATGATGATGGTGACATTTGTTTTCTATTGTCAGGAACTGAAAATAATATTCATATGACTCCACCCCAGTTTGCTCTTGTCAATCATGCGGATGCCATACTGGCTGATCTCTGTCGTGGTTTTATCGGTGGGGAGCTGAACTCATTTGGCCACTTTTAATGCTATCGGTATGACAAACAATAACCAGCACCAGTTTTTTAACCCATGAATAAATCTTTAATGAAGATGATGCTGTTGACTAACCATCATGTGAATGTTTCTATATTCATTCATTAAAAGACATAAAAAACAAAGTTTAGTTTCTGCAGTTCTTTAATAACATATATCAACACACACATACACCTTGAACAGTTTGCTTAAAAGAAAACTTAAAATATAATATGCCAATCATCTCAGAGTACTAATAACATTCAGATGATTATAATAATAAAAAATTAGGCCAAACTCCATATTGAACTTTTTCCAACATTAACCATCACCCTAATGCCAGAAACTGAAGTGACCCTGACCTTGTTGATGGCCTGGCTGAGGACCTCATCTCCTTTGTGGTAGTTGACCTCCACCGACCCCAGGAAGCGGATCGTGAACTTCAAGAAATCCTCCTCTTCTGCAATCAAAGAAATATGGAATACATTTATATCCTACATTCTGCAATACTGAATTTCATCACTTCTGTGGCAAATCAGAGAACTTTCCAAAGACTGGTCATGAATTCCATGACAAACATTTCAATACCATTTTCATAAAGAAAACTAATATTTTGCCAAAAACATGCTTGTTAATCATGTATAGCTTAGTGGCGGAAATTCACACAATAAAAATTATGAAATTATGTTTCAGATCATGTAGTATTTCTGATTTTCTGTGATTCCATATTTCAACCAGGACATACCTGATTCCTCCTCTAGGAAGGTTAGATCTGTGGCGTACATCGCGGGGAAGATGCCCTTCTGACCTGTCCGCAGGTTTACACCTGGAAATAACCAATGTTATACTCAATATCACAGCTATATCCATTTCAGTTTGGACCAACCAAACCAGAGGGTGATAGTATGAGCATTAATCTATGCCATGAGGATACAATACATACCATTGGCCATGTTTCACATACAAAACACATGACCCTAATTCTGTTCAGAAATTTAACTTTTTCCTTCTCAAATCTTTCAACATTTACAAATATTTGAGAACAATTTTCATGGTCTGAAGATCTAAGATCATTTTAACACTCTCAACTGACATGAACAACCAGAGTAATTTTATACCAAGGTCTGAAGCATACATAATGTAGACTACCAATATTTACACATGTAGTGCTGGAGCGATTGATCAAATAATCGGTAAATTGATACATCTCGCTTGCATCAGCAATTATCAATGGGTTTGGGAGACAAATCGATATTCATAAAAAATGAAACAACAAATTAAACTTTAGAAAGTAGTTTCAGAATTATGCTTGTTAAATCAAGACACAAACAACTCAAGACGTTTCCTGACTCGTAAAACTGCTATGTAAACAACACACTTGCTTTATTCAACATGATGCTTAAGTGTGCTTACTGCTGTAGTGTTTATCGGTACCTGTTTGATTTGCACGGTGTTTTGATTTTGTCCCTTTATTGCTCACATGAGTTTTGTTGTGGGGTTTACAATTACAATCGTTTATTGATCCATTACTCAGCTCCGATTATCGATCTGCATGTACACAGGGATATTAACATTCTCAATTCTGTCAATTTACTGACAGATCATATTTATTCCATACCTTCACACCACAAGTCGTCCGACTCCTTTATGACATGAATTGGGTCGCCGATCTCTATCGTGATCTCGTCAGCGTGTCGAGGAATGAAGCGATGCATCCCTCGATGTGTCACCTCCATTTCTTGATATACAGACGTCGAAACAAAACTGGTGGAAGATGTGGAATCCCGCTTCGATCCTTATAATTAAATATCAAATAATTATTACAATGTGTCATTGTTGCAAACATATTCACAATAAGCCATGAAATTCATCTAGACAGGATGTGATAGGGCTTCAGTACTAATAAATCTTTCCCACAGATATATACACTGATCATGAATACAAAAACACCCAAAACATGAACCCAATAAATAACACAAGAATTATTTGATATACATAGACACTTCATTTCAAACCAGTCTACAAACATACATAGACTGTACACAACACTGAGAGACTGTTAATACTGGACTTCCCAACATTCTGTTGTTATGTTTACAACTCAGTGAGCTACATTTCCAAAAGAATCTAATTTAAAAAATAGAAATAAGAGAACAAAAAAATTCAAAGTAACAAGTGGAAAAATTAAAAAAACATTTGTATGGTTTTCACTCAAATGTTTCCATGAATTTTAGTCAGGATGTCCTGATAATTTAGAACTAGTTCTTATACAAAGAAGACTTATAAAACGGCTAGCATACAGGGGGGCGTTTTGTTTTCACTGATTAACTCAGTCAATATTATACCAAATGGAATGGTGCTTGTCTTTTTCCAGTTTTTTATGCCAGAAATCCTAACAGAAGCATGAAAGAGCAACTTTTCCAGTAAACAAAATTAATTTAGATATCTTTTGAAACACTATGTAGAATAGTTAAAACTTGTTTTGTCTATTAATTATCTCTTGCTTGACCCTTATGTTCAATATGAAGCATCAATTACCCTTCATATGCAAAAGTCAAAACATCCAATGATTTTTTCTAACAAAAGCAACTGTTTAACATATAAAATCAATATGTTCAAGTTAATGTTTGATCTGTGATGTGTTCAGTTAATCATTATATTACTGCTTGATCAATACAACATGTTCAATAACATGATTGTTCTGTCTAGTACAGACATATTTATCGGTACAATATCTGATATCCCTATTCTGATCAATACATCTTCTGATCATGACATCGTCTGATAAATATCTCTGTGCTGACAAATATATCTCCTGATCAATATCCTTATTTTGATCAAGACATCTCCTGATCTATATCCCTTTTCTGATTATTAAGTCATCTGATCAATATCCCTTTTCTGATTATTAAGTCATCAGATCAATATCCTTATTCTGATTATTAAGTCATCAGATCAATATCCCTTTCTGATTATTAAGTCATCTGATCAATATCCTTATTCTGATTATTAAGTCATCAGATCAATATCCCTTTTCTGATTATTAAGTCATCTGATCGACATATATCTGATTATAAAGTCATCTTATCAATATCTCTATTCTGATCAATACATCTTGATCTAATCAATATCTCTATTCTGATCAATACATCTTGATCTAATCGATATCTCTATTCTGATCAATACATCTTCTGATAGATATGCCTATCCTGAGAAATATATCTACTGATCGATATCCCTATTTTGATCAAGATATCTTCTGATCAATATTCCTAATCTGATCATGAAATCTTCTGATCAATTCATAAAACTATACAAGCAACTGCTCAGATCAAACGTAATATCAATATTCTGGTTAATGCAAACAACCTGCTCAATAAAAGTCTCCTGATCAATAGACAAATCAGCTCCATTCCAACATTCCGTTCAATACATCAGCTAATGGATACAAGCACTCTGATTCCTCTAACAAATGCTCTGATCAATGAAAATGTTCTGCATTACCATCTTCATCGGAACTGTTCTTCCTGCCTCGCCCACTGGAGGAGAGGGGAGACTTCCGTCGCTTGGACGAGGAATCCTCAATAATTAGTTGATTATCCGAGTCAGTGTAAGTTCTGGTATTCCTAGACACAGCACTAAAATAAAGGTATTTCTCCAGAATATTGTCCCGAGGTTTCCTGGCTGTTGTAAACACATCATCATTTTCCTCCTTCTCTATTGCCTCCTTCAGCTCATCGGCCAGAGAGCGCACCATCTCCGCTGGCTGGGGCTCATAACCTGTTGACAGGATAATAGCATTTACAACATGTTTCTTACTGTTCCATTATTTACTGACTTGGGTCACAACATGTAGGTAGGAAACTAGCATATACACCTTTAAGTTTCATTGTTGTGTCACTGACTCTAATAGCAGGGTTGTAAGCTGCAGACAGGAAAACGTCATTTACACATAGCATTACATTTACATTATCTCTACAAGTGGTATTCATAACGTGCAAATGGGAAAATATCACTTACATCTTTTTACAATTTGTCACATATTACCTCATCTGCCTTACACAACCTTTTGACTCAAAAGTGTTGAGGATGAGCATCCTGCCCCTAAACGTTTTTGTCTGTAAAACTGAACAGCAAAACACTTCCTATAGTTTGCACATGACACGTGCAGTAGCACTACACACATGCATATGGTGTCATGGCTGATTGGGACTCTTTAAGGAATGTCTATTATTCTTTGAGGATCATTTTCTGCCTTTCTTATTGATTCAGTTTATCATACAGTTGTGAGTTACTTCATTTCAGTTATTGTTTTGTGTATAAACTGGTGATATAATGTCTGCAGCATGCGGAACGTCTAGGGACTATTGTCTAAGGGCAGTTGTCTAGGGGCTCTTGTCTATAAGGACTGTTGTCTCAAGGGACTGTTGTCTAGGGGCAGTTGTCTAGCGACTATTGTCTAGGGACTGTTGTCTAAGGACTGTTGTCTCCGGACTATTGTCTAGGGGCAGTTGTCTGGGGCTGTTGTCTTGGGACTGTCATCTAGGGACTGTTGTCTAGGAGCAGTTATCTTGGGAATGTTGTCTTGGGGCTGTTGTCTAGGGACTGTTGTCTAGAGGCTGTTGTCTAGGGGTAGTTGTCTAGGAAATGTTGTCTAGGGAATGTTGTTTTGGGGGCTGTTGTCTAGGGACTATTCTCTAGAGGCCTGTTGTCTAGGGAATGTTGTCTACGGAATGTTGTCTGGGGGCTGTTGTCTAGGGACTGTTGTCTTAGTAAGAGACTGTTGTCTTGGGCAGTTGTCTAGGGGCTGTTGTCTAGGGACTGTTGTCTTGGGCAGTTTTTTAGGGGCTGTTGTCTTGTGCTGTTGTCTAGGGGCTGTTGTCATTCAGGAAACTGGCAGAAGTCCATGTGCACTGGTTAGTATTCAATGTATCGCAAGACGTGTTACAGGTCAGATGATATGACTGACTGACTGAGTTTGGTTTTACGCCGCTTTTAGCAATATTCCAGCAACATCACGGCGGGGGACACCAGAAATGGGCTTCACACATTGTACCCATGTGGGGATTCGAACCCGGGTCTTCGGCGTGACGAGCCAACGCTTAAACCATTAGGCTACCCCACCGCCCCCCAGATGATAAGAAATAACAATGCCTACATGCAGACATGATCAATGGCAACTTGTTGTGCCATCCTTTACAAATCGTAATAATCACATCCATGGTTTACACAATGTTGAAACTGGGTCATCATCGCTGTGTGATGCTTTTAGATAGTCCCGATTTCCTTTTAGTTTTATGCCACTTTTAGCAATATTCCAGCAATATCACTGCGGGGTACACCAGAAATGGGCTTCACCCATTGTACCTATGTCGGGTATCGAACCCTGGTTGCATGACAAGTGAAAATTTTAACTACCAGGCTTCCCCACTGTCCCTTCCGGTTGAAACGTGTTCCCGCTTCTTTCATTATCATAAAATTATTACTGAACACTAATATCCAATACAATCATGGAAATATTCAGATATTGTCAAGTATCCCCTATTGTTTTTAAGAGTTTCAATTCAATAGATTTCATAGAAATAGTGATCAACCAGATTTTGACATGGTTTGTTTTGTCCTGTATCTGAAGGGCACATTCAGAAATCATATTCTTCAACAAAACATTTTGTGACAGTAAAAAGCCATTGGTAAATATATTTTCCCACACGTGCACTATCCCAACATATGAAAATGTGTAGGATGATTCACAAAATATCTGAGAATACAGGATATTCGCACAGGGTAGTATCAGTGTCAGTGTCAATTCTTGCAATTACTCCACACTAAAAATATCTTTCTTTGAAATTTTTGTCACAATATGATTTGTGGGAAAGTAAATGAAATATTTTGGTGTATATTTATGCCCTAGACACAAGTTTCATTCCCTACATTATCTCAAAATATATATACCAGAAAAATGGCTGGGTAGAACAGACTAGAAATGCGTGAAGCCCTGGAAAAATCAATTTTGTCATTAAACTGCAATGGCTATCTAAGGCTCCGTACACTGGGAACTCAAGTCTAAGGCACTTGACAAACCAATGGCTACTGCCAGCCGTGGCTAGACACAAGGAAAGCAATTATACTGTGGAATACCTACAAGACTGTATGTATAAAATCTACATTATACATAAACTATAACTAGCAGTCAACCAAGCAGCAAGATTCCAGCTCAGACAGCCACTCGCCTAAACACAAATTGCTGACTGCGCATAAACTGAAGAAATTGTCAGTTATGAAATCTACTCTTATAATGACAGCGGGACCCAATTTAGATCGGTCGATATCTTTCTCCCTGCTCACTGCTGTATAAAATTTGTTGCCTTGACAACATTGAGATTTAGTGAAATTAACACTGGGAAATGTCAATCACACAATGAAGCAGAGGGCCCTAATAGACAATAAATCGTTTCTGAATCTTACCCGTGAATATTCTTATAAATAGGTGAATTGATCACAGCCATTACTATCATGGTAAATCTAGAGTTTATGTTGGTGTCCTATCATTTGATTAAAGAATGATCAAATAAAAATGTGCCTGTTTTTATCATTCAGGGAGGTAATTTAGTCATTTGTGCTGCGTCTGCGTCATGAACAATTTCTGTGAATCAAACAGTCACTTCTGCTACGTGAAGGAATGTTGTTTTACATCACAGTTTCCTGAAGGATAAAGAATAAATACATCCACACTCACACACCGACTCAACCACTCACTCACCGATCCAAACTCATAAAGGTTCTATTGCACATGGTCACATAGGCAACTACCAGCCTATACATTCAAACACACCCAATGGCTTGCCAAGCTTGATGTCTTAAACTGATCGAAACTAAATTGCTTTTACACAAATTTCAACAAGAAAATAACAGTTGCTCAAAATACATGTCATACTCTTGATGCCTTATCCTGTAGTCATGGCAACATAACAAGGTTAAAGATATAAGTCTTCCTTCAAGTCTCAAGTTTCATGATGGTGATCTATATTTAGTAAGATCCTGCCAAGGAAGCCAGGCAGTGTGCGAAATAGTTTCCATATTGTGCTATCCAGTCGGGCTAGCTATGCCTGAACGTTATTAGACCACAAAATAATTCACTTGCCCAAAATTTGAATGGTAAAACTAAGCAAAAGTTTACTGAAAGGTAAAACACCATCAAAAACAAATGACCTCATGAAAATTCTCTAACCAGTCAGGCCAGTGACTGTGGAGATTTACTGCCCTGACTGGATTTTTACTAGACAGTGAAGTATGCACGTTTGTTAGAACTCATACTATTTGGCATCTGTTTCCATGTGACTGAATGGCTGATCTCAGCTGAGGACATCAAGCTCTCTGCGTTTCATCCAACATAACCATGTGTAAGATGATGTTTTATGAGTGATCCACAATGAACATTAGGTTGAACACATCATCCTTCCTCATGTTCACACAGACCTTACCGAGGCATCCGTTGAGGTTATGAGATAGGTCATTTATGATGCCATTACATTTTGCTTTAAGAAGTGTGGATCGCAGCTGCCAGAAGTTCTCCCAGGAAATCTCTATTGAAAATTTGTTAGTTGTTTGCTCGTGATTTAGTGCACATTAATTTCTTACGTCAATATTACCCTTTCTAGCGACCATAAAAAATGTTAAGTACATCAGACTTCTCTCTATACAAATATGCATAAGAACAACACTTGAGGATGCTGATTGGACTGCATTCTCTATACCCTATGTTGAATGTAATGCACAGAGGAGTTTTGAGATTCCCTAAATGCTCAAACATCCTACAAAACAAGAGTCTCCACATTTCTAAGAAATCTTGACATTTAATTGTAATGCATTATAAATGGGTTTTAAAAAATCACCAGATCAATTCAAATCAGCAAAGAAATTACCTTCTTAAATTTAGAATTGATGGAAAACAGATTGAGGTTTCTCACAGAAGCCCTGTAAACGTAATTACGGCTCGGCCAATATTTGTCTGAGGCTGCTCAGTACGCACCACTATCTCCCATGTCAGGTCAATGTGTCCCGGGGACTCCGCTACCATGATAGAAGCTAGACCCACATGTAATAATCAATTTGTTTTATCAGTCTTGTGTGCCCTGTGTGAGTGCACCTTAAGTGTAGGTACATAATTTAATATTGATTTAAAACTTGAGAGAAAACTTGGCTGTTAGACACCTTCATAATAGCTTTTGCTGTCATTGATGTCTCTCTGTTATCATCATCAACATTTTCGTCATCATTATTGTCATGAGGTGAGGTGAAATTGGGTTTTACGTCGTGCTTGAGAATATTTCGCTCATATGACGACGTGCATGCGTGTGTATGTGTATGTGCAGCTGCTTGTACTAGTCCAGACTTAAGCTGGTTTTATAGTGCTAGCCCACTGAGAAACCGTGCCGCAGTTAAGCATGAATACCACCCTCAGACACATTATACTGACTTCGAGCTGACTAGTCCTTGTTGTACCCATTAATGCCGAGCGCGCCAGGCAGGGACCAACAAGTACCATATTTTAACATCTTTTGGTATATGACGCGGTCGGGGATCAAACCCGCAACCTTCCGCCACCACCACCACCACCACCACCATCATCATCACCATCATCATCATCATCATTTCCTCACCTCCTCGATGTTTCTTAGGTATTTCTGGAAGTTTCCGCGGCCGTCTAGCTGGCCATCTACCATTCTGTGCTTCAGGAGCAGGAGTTCCTTCCGAATCTGAGAGTTTTCTGATAGATTCCTGCAACAAAAACAGTGGCAATTACTGACCATTCTTGGACACCACAGACCACTCATGAAGGTCTGTTGTCCACGATTAGTAGACACCATGCCTTAAGCTATGTATCTTATTGATTCCACGATATTTGTTCTACACAATAATTCCATGCATGGCATAACACTCCCCAGGAGCGTTGTCAGAGTCTAGAAGCTATCTGGTGTTCATCAACACAATCTATGGCTCTCATCCACAACAAACAAGTACTGGTATAAAATCATAGCAATGGAGGATAAATTGATTGTGGGAATATGTTTATGTTGAACACTTTACCATATTCACCATAATAAGAACCCTGCTCCAAAATGAGCACCTTTACAAACAATCAGTACGGAAACTTCCAACACCTCTGTACAAGACCAAATATTTGCATGACAGTCTGAATTTTCTTGTGTATTTTAGTGATTATTTTACAGAAGATCACAGTACAAAAACTAGGATTGCATTGTAACTGTTATCAAAAAGAAGTACTTGTTAGGCATTTAGAAGTTTGAACATGAACAACATGAAGACATGATATTTCTTTATTGAAGTTGTTATCTTCAAAAAAGTGTCATGTATTTTTGTTTTAAAAAAAGCATCAGTTTCAACAATGATTCAACTGAGTGTGTTCACTGCCACCTGATCTCAGAAAAACAGTTGAACTTGCTATGATTTCAAGTACCACATGACACTTATTACCACAAATACAGTTTATTATTTTACTTTGTTTTAGTTTTGTCTCAACCAAACACAATGTCAATAATGACTAGGTAATATCTTTTATGGTTAGAGCACGAATGGACACTTTGGAAATCAATGAATTCCAAAAACTTCCAACTTTGACTACACACCAAAGGATAATATTGCATTGAAACTCATTTTGAAATATTAATTAAACATTGAAAAGTTTTTTAATCTTTCAAAAGATCAATATTATGCTGTGTAAGCCTCTGGGGCAAAAAATAATTTCCGACATTGCTATGGCAACCATACTCAGAGATGATTACATGTAACAGGCATATGGAAGATTCAAAATCCAGCGATATTTGTTGTAAAGGTCAAGACAGCTGCATCTCGTTTCATTTCCAACCTTTGAAGTAAAGAGAGACATCATTTCAACTTTAACAAAATCACGGTCGCAATAGTTTTTTCTGAGCTCATGTAGTTTATACAATGTGTTCGAGTTAAAGGAGCGAGTGAGTGAGTAAGGTTTTACGCCACTTTTAGCAATATTCCAGCAATATCATGGCTGGGGACACCAGAAATGGGCTTCACATGTACACATGTGGGGAATCAAACCCGGGTCTTCAGCGTGACGAGCGAATGCTTTAACCACTAGGCTACCCCACCGCCCCTCAAGTTAAAGGAGACCAACACAAGCTGTTATGAAGCACATCTCGTGAAAACATTCTCCATAATCAAAATGGCTCATATCATCTGGATAATGATAGCATTTGTCATTTCAAGACATCCAAAAGTGAGAACAATATGTTAAATTTGTTGATAAACCCTAAGAGAATATTTCTGTTTTAGCTTATTTTGCATGCACTTGTTTATATTAATCGCAAAAATTGTTAGCTGAACATAAATGCATACACGCATGCAAGAGGTCATACTCACACAGTCACACACGCAAATACAGTGAGTGAGTGAGTTTAGTTTTACGCAGCTTTTAGCAATATTCCAGCAATGTCACGACGGGACACCAGAAATGGGCTTCAGACATTGTACTTATAAGGGGAATCAAACTCGGGTCTTCGGCATGACGAGTGAACGCTTTAACCACTAGGCTACCCCAACGCCCCCTATGCCAATACAGGCATACACATGTATACTCATCTCTGACAAAAATGTCTAGCTGATGCCTGCTGCAAAGCAATGGCAGTGCACAAACATGCTAAACATGTACATATGAAACTGAATCTCCCAGAAACCATTTGGGACGGTGATGAATCATTCAAGATGACAGAGGAGCTGTCCTGATGAGAGCGTCAATAAAGTTGTGGCATGTTTGTGGGTGGGTGTCTGGCACTGCTAACTACATCAGACTAGCTTGTGGCATTGTAATAACTATATGTGAGGCCATGAGTGGGTGCATCTTAACATCAGTGTTAGCAATAAGCCTCATCACCTCGGTAATGGGATGGACTAGACACACGAGTGAGTGAGTGAGTGAGTGAGAGTGCGCATGAGCGAGTGAGAGAGTGAGTGAGTGAGTGAGTGAGTGAGTGAGAATGAGAGTCAGAGAGTGAGTGAGAGTGAGAGAGAGAGTGAGAGAGTGAGAGTGAGAGAGAGAGTGAGAGTGAGAGAGTGAGTGAGAGTGAGAGAGTGAGTGAGAGAGTGAGAGAGTGAGTGAGAGAGTGAGTGAGAGTGAGTGAGTGAGTGAGTGAGTGAGTGAGTGAGCGAGCGCATGAGCGAGTGAGTGTGAGAGTGAGTGAGTGAGTGAGTGAGTGAGTGTGAGTGAGTGAGTGAGTCCTTTAACACTAATTTAACAGTACTCAAGTTATATCATGGCTTGTCAGCTAAAATGTCACAGGAAAGCCTGAAGTAATGCAGGTCTCAGACGTTTACCACTTTGGTGAAACCTTTCAACAAACCTAGAAACATGATGAGGATTAACCAGGAGACAAATCCAGTATCATAGTTTCTTGCATGCCTAAATCATGCAACTCTGCACAGTAAATATTTGCTCTAATGAGGAGAGGGCTGAAGGTATATACAAGCTTATTGCCTTGTTCACATCAGGCATCTTGTTTTAGTTGCCTCCAAAGTCCAAATACGGGAATGTGTCATATCAGAATTACTCCGACCTTAACTATAGAGAATGTTAGTGGTAAAATTTCATAAATCAAACATGTCATGTCAGTCTCATATCTTTTTTAATGTACCAGGCTTACCGATTTTTTTCTGGAAAAATTGTAGAAACTACAAAGAAAATAGGCCTTACACCAACTGATATCATGTCTGGTACAACAATGTAATACCTTTTGCATGAAGATCTGAGGACAGCTCTGGAGGTTGGATCAAGTAAGCTTTCCTATCAGCCTAAAAGTGTTGAGGCTTTGAATTGTCAGAACCAATGCATTGAAACCAGCTTATCTTATTTCTGTATCTTGATAACAAGCTAAACAACCATCCCAAAATTGCAGCAGCCATGATGGATTACGATTTGATTGATATTTTAGATAGGGGTATCATTGATGACAGGTTTGTGTCATGCGTGGGTTTTTATGTTGTACTTGTTTCGAACACACACACCCCTCAGCCCCGCCAATCAAAACATTAACTTCAATGTGGTCTTTAGTCATTGTCAAATACCAAAAAAAAGGGGGTGGGGGGTGGTTTTTTTGGTCTACCCCCCCTGAAACACCCACCCTATGATCCGCCAATGTATGGTGCATCATTCATTAAGTAATTATAGAAGGTAACATAAATAGTGTTTTTCTGTAGGTATTTGGGTCAGCAATGTAAGGCGTAGGGGTGGAAAGTTAATAATTAATTTAATGGGCTAAAGGATTACAGGCAACTCTTACTCTGCTGCTCAGGAGCAAGATGGCCGTCTTAGTGTAGGATGATGATATATAGCAATTAGCAAATGAGTTACTACAAATATCTGCCATTTCTTCTGTCATTTTATTGGAAATATTACATGGAAAGGAATTATTCAATTTCAAAAGTTGGTGCAGCTTAATTTTTTAACCCTACTTTGAAAGGTTGATTGAAATTCATTGTAATTCAACTTATCAATACTTCAGCATTCTGTAAATGTGAATGTGAATTTGAATATGAACAATCTGGACTTTGAAAAGTGAGTGATTGATTGTAATTAATGCAGCTCTGAAGGGTCTTACCACAACATGTCAGCCTGATGTGGGAGGAGAAGGATGAACGTCTCTGACATTTACCACGTCAGTGCACCCAACAAGCTGACAGACTTACAAACATAACCAGGGTCCTTTAAGCCCACGATAACAGCTTTCTGGCAAGCCTTAGGATGTCACTCAAAATGCACACCTCATTTCGGCCCTTGAGACGACAGCACCACCTGAGCTGCCATAGCTCGAAAGGCTTAATGTCTTCCTGCCAAAGTTCATAAAAACAGGCTCTCAGCCACCTATCATACCTTGTAATTACATTTTACAAAAATAATTGAAACTAGGTTCTTTAACCAATTAAACTGTTCTCAAATTAACATTGGTTAAAGAGAAGAATTTGCTCGTCCTACAAATATAATCAAATGGCATGGAGTTAATGTCACAGTTTGACAGGAACTGCTTGAAGTGGAGTAATTCCTTGGAGAAATTAGCACTAGACAGCACAAACAGAATAAATGAACCACTTAGGATTTCAGGCTTTGTGTCGACATCCTGACCAAGTTACCATTGCACTACACTAATAAATCTTATTACCTACACAGAATATCTTTCTAAAAGTGAAGTAAGGCAAAGGAATTGTATTGGCATCAGGATGCTGTTTTTCTGTAATTTCTACTGACAGTGAGTAGAGTTTAATTTCACTGATGAAATGTTTCTGTGGCTGCCATGAATTGGCTTAATGATTTGGTCCTTAGAGTGATGAGCTACAGTTTAATCTCTTGGCTAGCCAACTCCACATTAACCATAAACTATGAAAAGAGAGACAATTCTTTTATTTAAGACCAATGAACAATTGAACAATTTGCTAACATACTTTAAATACGTTTACAAAATGTTATGATTTGAGGTAAAATTGCTTCAAAAATCGTTTTGTGTAATTTTGGTATTAGATAATCAAACAAAACAATATCTTAGTATAGGGTTAAATATTATTTTATGTGTTTCAAGATGGACCTGAGCACAAAAACACAATATGTCTCATGCTGTTGAACATTATGGGTTTACAATGTAAGTAATAATGAATTTGTGACCTTTAGAATGAAGATTCCTGAAGTCCTATCATTTCAATAGCTTCCTCAAAATTACTTATTACAATTTGAATTTATGAAAAAAAAAATCATATATTTCTTCCATAACTTAAAAAAAAAAAATGTCAAAAAGCAATATGAAGATGTTACAAACTAAACTGTATTCATCCCCAAGATAAAATTCTTATGACCCATTAGCTTTGACAAGATCCTATATGAGTCAACACAGCATGTGCTCTCAGATGAAGCTCTACCGAAATGCCAAGGTGCACGGCAACATAAACCCTCAAAGGCAAGTGCACAGATCCCTGCGAACTACAGTAACGGCCACACTGAGTAGCACTACTTACATCAGCTAATGACAGGAAGCTCAGGTGTCTGTCTAAGAACAACCACAGCTGAATTATATATGCCGTCATTTTAAGGTATACATTTTCTGCCGATCAGGGCATAAATACAGGTACTCTTGTAAATGAGTGAGAGGGTGAGTGGGTGAGTGGGTGGGTGGGTGGGTGGGTGAGTGTGTGTGTGGGTGGGTGGGTGAGCAGGTGAGTGAGTGAATGAAGCTTTTAGCATTATTCCAGCAATATCAAGGCTGGGGACAATAGAAATAGGTACATCAGTACCCATGGGGGAATCGAACCTAGGTCTTCAGTGTGACGAGCGAACGCTTTAACCACAGGGACACCCCCATTACCCCCTGTGTGGAACAGAGAGATTGTTGTATGTTTATTTGTAGTGATTGTTAGTGGCTGCAAAGGATTGAAGCATTTGGAAAATTTCAAGCACTTTTGCATGCAGGTTTTATTTGTATTCGGTTACAGTGAGTAAGTTATCTGCCTCGGTATAAACAACCAAAAGTTTCCAGAAAGGCCGACTGTGTACATATAAGAGCAAGAATTAAATTTGTGGCGTTTTCAGCCCTGACCTGTATCTCAACTATTGCCCAGTGCAGATTGGATTCTTGTCTCCTTATGATTCCTAACGCTGTATTTCTGCCAGCTTTTAACAATATTCCAGAATGGAGCACAGGCTTCTTTCAAGATATTTGACAGTGATAAATTCTGAACATTTGTGAGAGCAAGTCATGTATCAAAGGGCATGTTAATTACTGCTGCTACCAAGTATTTGACTCATTGTATTGCCATTTTTATAATTAAAAAATACAAGTGTGTTTCAAAGGAATATGTTGATTATTCTGTTTTGTGGTCATTTATTGATGTCACAATTTAGTTCAGTAATTAGCAATTTCTGGATTAACCATTGAATTTCAATTTGTATATCCCTCATTTCACCCTCAAATGTCTCCTGAATCAAATACTTAAAGATTTCTCTCTCGGGTGTTAAAAAACAATCATATGACACTTTTTTAAAACAATGTTTTAAGGAGGAAATTTCCAAACTTGACGTATCAGTGACAAGAATTATATCTGATGCAATTTCCCATTTTGACTTGTACCATATGTTCCCATGTATTCTTCAGGACAAATTGTCTTACCTTTGCATGTGTTTGTGATAGGTGATACCTAGAGATTCGTAAACATATGCTTATGACATAGTCAGAATCCTACAACAGACTCAGGCTGTAGTAGATATTTTGTGGGATTTATTATTATAATGGACATAGTTTTGTTGCTTCTATTATTATGGATGTCAAATAATGAATTGATTATACTTACGTTTGATGAATATATATGTACGTCTGAGGTATAGCTAATGCAGCTGGGTACAGTGTCCTCCTCGTAATCATCCTGAATTACTGCAGCAGTTTGTGGTGACAATGTCTTCTTGGGAGACAGTTCTTTTGAAGGTAATTCCTCAACATCTTCAATCCTAGTTGGTAAAGGATTTATATAATCAGGCCTCTGACCTTTTATATGTAACAAGTTTTTGGCATTCTTTTCTGCAGTACTGTCTTTTTCTGTGGAGCTGTCCTTGGCTGTGTCATTATCCGAGAGGGTAGAGTTATCTTTCCCATACCAACAGCCATAGGTTTCTGAGATGAACTCTTTTATCTTGAAGTCTGTATCACAGTCGTCATCCCCCAGTATATCTGGGCTTATGTCGTGTGCGAGCCTGCAAAGAGAATTTAAATGTTAATCTGATGTATAAACAAGGCAACCATTTTACCTCTGTTTAAAAGCTAAAACAACAAGGCCACCATTGTAGACAGAAAAAATATATAATTTTCTGGAATATTTGCCACATAATATTTAAAGTTTCAGTGAAACTTAAAAACATGAATATTCCATTACAACTGATCATAGCATGGTAAAAAATAACCTTTAAAACACAATAATGAATATAATGTTAGCCTGAAAGGGCTGAATAATAGCCAAAGCTTAAATTTTCAATATGGCCTCCATGGCGGCCATATTAGGAGTATCATCATGACGTCCTTGCATGAAGATAACCTTGATGTCAGGGTTTTATCACAGACATGTTGGGGCGGTGGGTAGCCCAGTGGTTAAAGCATTTGCTCATCATTCCGAAGACCCGGGTTGGATTCCCAACATGGGTACAATGTGTGAAGCCCATTTACGGTGTCCCCCACCTTGATGTTGCTGGAATATTGCTCAAAGTGGTCTGAAACCATACTCACTCACTGCTGTTAGGCCATGTTGCTAACACAGCCAAACAAGTGTTCCCCCATTTATACACTATTCATGCTCAATATCCACATGTCATTCAACTTTATGACAAGCTCTTGATTTGGGCATAAGAAATGGCGCTGAGATCCTATGACTGCCTAATCTCTGTATGACTCAATGGTTTCACAAATCATGGACGACATGTAATTGCCAGCGGCACTATTGATTTCACTGCAAATTTCCAGTAGCGTACTCCTGACGGAAGGCATGAGCTTCACAAACTTGAACTACCCCAGACCACGTCAATAACATCTCTGCCAATGTTGTGCTGCATGGTAGAATAAATACAACATGGTACACAACATCAATACAATGAATAATGACAGCAGGTTTGCTTGGGAAATAAACATTGGATCATACAACTACTGCTCAGATAAAAATACACAGTGAATCATGTTTTATGTGTTGGCCAACAATTCACTGCACCTGTATGATAGTGGACTGGAGCCAACCATATACATCATGGTGGCAATATTACATCTGTATACATCATGGTGGCAATATTACATCTGTATACATCATGGTGGCAATATTACATCTGTATACATCATGGTGGCAATATTACATCTGTATATATCATGGTGGCAATATTACATCTGTATACATCATGGTGGCAATATTACATCTGTATACATCATGGTGGCAATATTACATCTGTATATATCATGGTGGCAATATTAAATCTGTATACGTCATGGTGGCAATATTACATCTGTATATATCATGGTGGCAATATTACATCTGTATACATCATGGTGGCAATATTACATCTGTATATATCATGGTGGCAATATTACATCTGTATACATCATGGTGGCAATATTACATCTGTATATATCATGGTGGCAATATTACATCTGTATATATCATGGTGGCAATGTTACATCTGTATACATCATGGTGGCAATATTACATCTGTATACATCATGGTGGCAATATTACATCTGTATACATCATGGTGGCAATATTACATCTGTATACATCATGGTGGCAATATTGCATCTGTATACATCATGGTGGCAATGTTACATCTGTATACATCATGGTGGCAATATTACATCGTATACAATATGGTGGCAATATTACATCTGTATATTTCATGGTGGCAATGTTACATCTGCATATATCATTGTGGCAACATTACATCTGTATACATCAGGGGAAGCTGTAGTTGGCAATACTACACCTGCATATATCATGGTTAACTGTAGTCAGCAATATTACATCTGTATATATCATGCTGACTGTAGTCAGCAATATTACATCTGTACATATCATGGTGGGCTGTAGTCAGCAATATTAATTATACATCTGTATATATCATGGTTAACTGTAGTCAGCAATATTACATCTGTATATATCATGTTGGACTGTAGTCAGCAATATTACATCTGTACATATCATGGTGGGCTGTAGTCAGCAATATTAATTATACATCTGTACATATCATGTTGGACTGCAGTCAGCAATATTACATCTGTACATATCATGGTGGGCTGTAGTCAGCAATATTACATCTGTATATATCATCGTTGTCTGTAGTCAACAATATTACATCTGTATTATATCATGATGAACTGTAGTCAGCAATATTACATCTGTATATATCATGGTGGGCTGTAGTCAGCAATATTAATTATACATCTGTACATATCATGGTGGGCTGTAGTCAGCAATATTACATCTGTATATATCATGGTGGGCTGTAGTCAGCAATATTACATCTGTACATATCATGGTGGGCTGTAGTCAGCAATATTACATCTGTATATATCATGGTGGGCTGTAGTCAGCAATATTACCGTACATCTGTATATATCATGGCGGGCTGCAGTAGACAAATTACGGGAAAAAAGTAAGTAAAATCTTGTAAAACTGTCTGAAAATGATGTTTTGTCAACATCCAAACTGCATCTGCAATTCCTGCAACAGTAACTGCATTGTCTTGAAGATGAGGTAAGAGATAAAGTATTGATGCTTTAAGTTTCCAGAAATCAATGATGCTTGATACAATTGTTTGGAAAAAAGAAAATTTTTTCAGAATCGATACCTGAAGGACCAGGAACAATGGTACATGGCTTCTCCAAGAATCGGGTGAATAACGATCAATTCCATCAAGATGGGAGTTTGAATATATTCAACAATTTTTGTTGGTGTCAGCATATATCATTGGTTAACTGCCTTAGTAATAACATATCACTTTGAACAACAACGGCTTTTCAAAACAATATATTTCATTACTACCGTGATAATATTATGGGTTTTCAGACCCTTAAGAAACATTTACTGTTCTCTCGCTAATCACATGAACAACTGTAAAACATCTCACTTACCTATAAAAGACAACTTATTTTAAACACAAATCATCAAACAAGTATTCACATGTCTGTGTGATGAAAGATATTTAGCTATGGTGTGAGTGAATACTGACATCGAAAACATATGAAGTCGGAGATTACAGTCAGTGAGTGAGTTTAGTTTTACGCAGCACTCAGCCATATTTGAGCTATATGGCGGCGGTCTGTAAATAATCAAGTCTGGACCAGACAATCCAGTGATCAACAGCATGAGCATCGACCTGCGAATTGGGAACCGATGACATGTGTCAACCAAGTCAGCGAGCCTGACCACCCGATCCCATTAGTCGCCTCTTACGACAAGCATGGGTTACTGAAGATCAATATTCTAACCCGGATCTTCACAGGTCTCGGAGATTATATAATCTGATGCTTGTTATTAGTAGTATTTATTAAAGGCCAATTGTTTCCTTGGACATTCTCCAGTAATAATAAGCAAAGGCTTTCCACTAGATAATATCTTATGGTGTAGGCTCCATCTCAGTAGTGTACTATTGAATCTGGAGATATTCAGTGTTCGCTGAGTCCTAACATCATCAGAATGAAGATTAATTCCAGCAATATATTTAGTCACTGAAACATTCCTTCAAGGTGGACATAATGATCAAGGGAGATGTCATTCAAAGTAGTATTTCTTTCCAGGAAGTTAATATTCAAGTCAGTGTTTCTTTCAAAGAAGCTAACATTTAAGGAAGACATTTAAACTGCCACTGATCTCTGACAATTTGAATGTGATTGAAGGCTGTAGCCTATGGTTATCCCGCTGATATCCTAGAAATATTGACACGTTCGCAGGCTGGAAGTTCATTTCTCACTTTCATTGAAAGCATAAGGGCTAACATTAGAGAACTTCCAATGATGACTCCAGTGCTACTGCACATAAATGAAAACTATGTGAATACTAGCTATGGTGTCATAATTGCAACCAGTAAAAATTATCTGTATTACATTAAGCCCAAGGAATATTTCTGTCAATACTCACATAAATTAACGCTTTCCCACATATCTGCAGCTGTACAAAAATGGGTTTGATGCCACGTGTCCTTGTAACAATCTAATCACTCCCTCAATGTTTATATACACATTGCCCTTTATTTGATATTATGAGTGAGTGAGTATGTTTAGTTTTACGCGCCACACTCAGCAATATTCCAGCTATATGAAAGCAGTCTGTAAACATTCAAGTCTGGACCAGACAATCCAGTGATCAACAGCATGAGCATCGATCTGCGCAATTGGGTACCGATGACATGTGTTAACCAAGTCAGCAAGCCTGACCACCCGATCCCGTTAGTCGCCTCTTGATAAGCATAGTCGCCTTTTGTGGCAAGCATGGGTTGCTGAAGACCTATTCTACCCCGGAACTTCACGGGCTAATTAATAATTCAGCATATTTTGGTTGATCCATTGATCAACATGTTTGCTTTTAACTCCACAGATCATTCCCTATTCCTGGGCTGCCACATGCATATTGCACAACATGTAATACATTCTCCACATCAGCCCTGGAATATAATTTATTAATTTGGATAATTAAATTTAACCGAGATCGAAGAAATGTCAAATGGGAATCTCAGTCAGATAACGTGAATGGTGCTACCACAAACTAGACCTATGATAAATTCATAACCTGAGCATGAATTGAATGAACTTAACTAGTAACATAGGTGCAAGTTCATACCATGAAACAGGAGGACATGTTTTCACTGGGGAGACATATGTTCCTTTGCATCCACAAATCAACTTATTACCATTATGGGTATTTCCATTTAACAGTATCTTGACAGACTTCAATCATTCATTATGTCTGTTTGTTGAGGTTGATGAAAATGAATGACACGTGACCTTTGCAACATCAAAATATTTTCGTCTCATAGGTAACCAATCACTATTTTGCATATGTATAATGTTCCAAAGTTTATTTCTCCTGCCCTTACAGACAGTAGCCCAGTCCTTGTAACACTCACTCAGTGAAGTGACACTGATAAGAAACACCGAATCAAGGAATATTTCATTCAAAGCAGTAATGTTGGCAAGGAAGACAACATTCAAAGTTGATATTATTGTG